GCTTGCTAGCTTGGTGTATGGCGTGGAACCCTATCATTGATCTCCACATAAACCACATGGGTTCAGCCTAGTCTCTGTTACAAGGCTTGGCCGAATTCACTGCTGAATACAGTGAACCCCTGAGTCCATAGTATGGGCTCTTAATGGGCCCAACATTTACACTAAATGGTTATTGGGTCCAACCATCTTATGAAGGCCTAAGGATTGTGGGCATATGTGAGATTAGCCCATCAGGTTTATTATCCCTAAATGGTCTTACACTTAACCTCTTAGCCCTTAATGATTATACACTACCCGACAAGAGAGGACCTCTCCCTTGGCTACAAGGTATAGTGTTGCACGCTCTACTCACATGGGTCATGGGAATTAAAATCTTTTGCAAACATTTTGTGAAACCATAATGTATATGTATATCTTTATATAAATATATTTTGCAAAACAAATTTCAACAATTTGAAATCAACTGTCGGCAGTTTAGGTTTCCACCAAAGAGAGTGCATTCCCCGACCATTCACTAGGGGTTGATCCTGTCACTATGATCACCCACTCAGGTGAATTCTTGGACTACGCCAACATACCCAGGTTTTAACCCCCTCTAAGGATCTCACTGATTGGCATATCAAAGATAGTTCAATCTGATACATAGTGTAGTACCATAATCGAGTCTAGGGGTCAGGTGTAACATTATACTTTTGCCTATCTATCTCCAAGGTCCAGGGAAATACTGGAATTTAGTCCAGTTCAGGGTTTCAAGAAAACCCACACTACATGTACCTCGAGTCTCATCCTGGCAACTGAGACAAGCCACCCCAACTCACTTGGTGGCACATCAATGTCAGCTTTGGCAAGATAAATCTCCCCAGATTTATCCAACAGTTGTGAAGATTCTAAACTAACACGAGTATCATAAGTGTCCAGTTTAAGGGTATTATACAGAAACACACCAATATAACATGAATCAAATATGTACTTTATTCATTTACAATAAATGTGATAATGTACATCAAGCTGATTGGAGCTAAGGGCATACACTGTCTAACAGGAGCCTCAACCAACACCTTGATTTTCCGCCTAGCCGAGAAGTAGTAATAATCCTGTTGGTGATGCTTCAGCTAGAAGAGGTAACTCACCATCCCCAGGGTAAGCTCGATGTTATGGACAAAGCAGTAGGACATGAGGCCGAGCAAAAACCTAAAGGAGTTCGGCATCAAATGTACCGGCAGAACCCAATACCATTCAAACACCCCGACTGCCCCTTCGTGCAAAGGAAACCTTAGCCCGACCTCCAAGCTCTTTTCGTATACACAGAGCTCGTCCGACCGAGCATTCATGGGCCTCTCTTCATTCTACGAACACCTCATCTCAAACTCCTCAGGAATACCATACAAGGCTCCGATCTGAGCCATATCCTCGAGAGCCAAACTGCAAGGGGTGATACCGAACCGACTACCAGCTCGTGCGGAAAGCTCTACCTCCACGCTCGACGCACCGGCATCAGCCTCCTCGGCCTCGATGGATCTCCTCGAGTTTACCCCCTCAAAGTCCCCAGACTCAAACTCGTAATTGGAAGCACTAGAACTGGAAGAAGAATCGGAAGAATAAGGAAGAACAGAAATACGAGGAAGACATCTTACCAAACTTGGATCCGTAGGACTAAAGCAGATGCCGAGCACTGCCAATAATCCCTTGTCGAGCTTTCTAAGTAGTCCCTCTCGCAAATGGCAAAGGAGAAATGCTCTTCCCCCCCCCTTTTATAACACTTAAAGGTGCCAATCGAAGCCAGATCAAGGGTGGAGATCAAGCACCTCTCTAATGAAGCCCGAGAAGACTAATTGGCGCGACTATCACCGCAAGCGTGAAGCCTCAGAAACCGAAGCGACAATCCTGACAAGCTATCTCGAAGATGGTACAAGCATTAACTCCACCGGTTCACCTCGAAGCATCGGTCCAACCAAGTCTACAAACCTCCTCGGACGCTCCAAAGCACCGGTTCGACCAAGCCCTTGGGCCCCCTTGACGCACTCGACAACAAACTTTACATGCCTCGGCCCACGACCAAAAAGTTCGCATTGCGCTCCAACCGGGCACTCCTCTCCTTGACTTCAGAACTGGGGGAGTGGTGTTCTTATTCCGAAATTTAAGATCTAAGTTCCTCAGCCGAAGACCGAAGAGCCCTCCTGTGATGTAGCATAGCCAAGCATCAGATAAGCTCGGATTCCGAAGACCATCTATAAAGCTCCTCGGCATTTTATCAAAGCAAACAACCACGCCATACCTCGGTCGAGCACTCCTCTCCTCGACTTCGGAACTAAAGGAGTGGTGTTCGGATTCCGAAATTATAATTCAAAGTTCCTCAACCGATGATCGGAGAACTCTTCAGCTACATCCCACAATGCGTGGATTCTGAATTTCGACAAGCACCAAAGAACGTTAATTGGACCAAACGCTCAACTAGACTTCAACTTTGAGTTCCTCAGCCAAGGACTAAAGCTCTCTCCTGCTCTACACTTTAGCCGAGCACTTTATTCCTCGACTTCGAAACTGGGGGAGTGGTGTTCGGGTCATGGTTGAGCTGCCCTTGGATGCATTGTGGCCACCTAGTCATTGCCCAGTCACCTCGGCCACGTCGGTGCCGCTCTACCATCTCCATGGCATACATCGACTCTACGGCTACGATAGTGCTACGCTAGTTCCGTGGCATCCACCTTATCCTCCCAGCCATGTCAACTCCACGTCATGCGGATAAGCATGACCAAGAACAGGAGCGGATGGGGATAACTCTGTTGGGAATTAGGATTCATCCCAAAGACCATAACGGTTGACCTCATCTTGGCAACCCCAGAAGCCTAATCCGATCAGGATACGACCTTCAACTATAAAAAGGTATCTCCCGCTCAAGGTAAGGGATTCCAACTTCTAGCATCCATACTGTTATTCTGCTTGGACCAGCACTGATCTCTAATTGCTTGGCCTGACCACCTACCGCTTTCTACTAACTTGAGCATCGGAGTGCCTACCCAGGGATAACTCCTCGGGCCTCTGACATCTTTCTTGATCACAAATCTTAGAGCGTGGCTTCGCCCTTCCACCTCGGCTCCGCCCTATTGGTGAGGACTATCTGACTGCAACCTTGGTTCGTGCATCACCTCAAATCAAGTAACATCACCTTTCTTATATGTTTTTAATTTGTGTTTCAATTTTTAAACATGGCATTATTCATTTCCAAACACTTTTAATATGTCTCTTTTTAGATTTCAGATATTTTTAATATTTTTTAATATCTTTTTAGGTGTCATTTGATAACAATTTTTAGACCTTGAAGTTTGAAAACATTGCTTTTCAGACATCAGAGCTCTTTGGAAGTGCATTTGAACTTAGATCTGAACTAATAAGACGGGCTAGGCTTTGAATGCGGTCAGATGTGTTTCAAACTTGGCCAAAAGTCCAAAATACCCTTAAAACGAAACATATGCGTTTCTCGAGCATCGTTCAACTTCTCCACTTGATGTAGCGGCAACCCAGCGGCGGCGAGCTTTCTCCTGTAGCAGGCACCGTTCATCTTCTATTTCTTCTTCTTCCTCTCTAGTCTCATACCTTCTGCCTTCTCTACTTTTTCTTTTTTGATCGTTGCTGCAACTTTCAACAGCGATAATCTATTTTCTCCTATTCGACAGCAACCTTCCTCCTCTTTGGTCCCATAGCTTCCGCCTTCCTATGCATTTTTGTTTTCGATTGCTATTGCAACTTCCAGTAGTGGCAATCTATTTTCTCCTCTCTGATGGCAAGCTTCTTCCTTCGGCGGCGAGCTTCTTTATCAACTTGTTTTCCCGCCACCGCTGCTGCAACTCTCAACAATAGTAGTCTTGTCTTTATCCATAGCTCTACAACTCTCGGGGCGTTTGATAAATTATTTTATTAAATATATATTTTTTTTATTTTTTTATAATTTACTCATATTTTTCAATATTTTTTTGAATTTAATAAATTATTTTTTATGAAATAATGCAAATTGAACTCAAAATTACCAAATAGTCTATTTTAGGGGTAAATTAGTAAAATCAAGGAATTTTAGATCTAAAAGGGTTGATCTAACACAAACAACCTTATCTATTCAGAGCCTCTAAAAAGTAGGAAAGCATTTATGCCTCTTTTCAGATTTCAGACACTTTTAATATTTTTTTAACTTTTCAGATTTCAGATCTATCAAACGCCACCTTAACTTTTCAGATTTTAGTCACTCTAAAAAGTCAAAAAACAACTGTCTCTTTTCAAATTTTAAACACTTTTAATCAAGGTTCAAAGTATCGATACATATTGGCCCATATCAATCAATACGTACTGTGCTGATGGCTTATTGATATGCCCCCTCCAGGGGTTGTATCGGGTCAGCCACTGGTTCAGAGGATAGCCGGGCATTAAACCAATACCTAAAAAAAAATAAATAAAATGTAAAAAAATGTACGAACATGGACATATCGATCTATATTGATATTTAGAACCATACTTCTAATATATTTTTTTTAACTTTTCAAATTTTAGATTTATCAAACGCCATCTCAGTTGTGGAGAGAGTATGAGCAGGAATGGGTCGTTAAATCCGTTAAATTTTAACTTTTCAAATTTGGAGCTAACGGCTAACACCATTCTGTTAAATCCGCACGCGCTGAGGGGGAATTCGTGCGAGAGAACAGGTGGTGGGCTTCCATTGTGTGAGGCGCAGATGTGAACTCGGACGATCGACGACATGGTGGGTGGTGGACGACTGGCGATGAGTGACTATTGTTAATCGTCTGTGGTGTCTCCCTACGCCACCTGTAGACTCCTTGACAAATAAAAAATAAAATTTGCCATTAAATGAAATCCGTGTCTGTGGATATATACAACTGCAGAAGATTCCAATCCGACGGAATTCGAGAAGCTTACAAGTTTACGGTAGTAGTTGCTTCAATCACGTCGCCTACGCTACGAGTCCGAACATAAATTGGCTTTGACTTCAATTTCTCAGCTTGGTTTTTTCTCCCACGGGAAAGAGAGAAAGAGAGAAACCTTTCTTCCTCTTTGTTTCGTTGTCTTTCTGTTCGATCTGTAATCTCTTCGAGGAATTCCGTGGCGTTTATGGATTCCGGATGCAGATGCTCTTCATTCTCGTCAATCGTCATCTCCCAATCGTGCGTTGCCCTTCTGATGCTTTGCCAGCAGCCGTCCAATCTCGCCTTCACGTCTCCATTGACACCTTGGTTTCGAGAACTCTGGTTTAGCGTTCCCAAATAGCAAAAGCAGCAGCTATTCACGGGGACAATCCAGAAAGGTTTAATTTTTCTTTGAAAACTTTTAATTTGTTTTGAAATTTGCATTTTAATGTTCTGTAATAGAGCTGCTAAATTGCGGGTTTTTAGCGTATAATTCTTTGGAATTTTAATTCTTCTTGGGAGTAGTTTAGTGGAGTGGTATCTTATAAGATTATACCCTGAAAATCCTTTCTTTTTTTCCACAGTAGCTCCATTATTATGTGTAGAGAATCTGAAGCCCATTAACAAATACAAATATGTACAGTACAAATACAAGGTTTTGCACTGTACATTTTTTCTTGTATTTGTACTCTTCCCAAACTGAGCCTTAATAGCCGAGAGTTCATGAAAAAAAGCTCAACCCTTCTGTTCATAATTTTGCATTTTGACGGTTCTGTTGTAACTTGAGGTAGTCTGTTCTGTTTGGTAACGGCTGAAGTTGCTGAACTGAACGACTTATTGCTTTGTCTTTTAGTGGATAAACCAATTAAATAGTAAATATTCAAGGGTATGGTAATCTACCCAACTTCAACTTCATCCATTAAGGAGCCTAGAACCTACTTAAAATCTTGTATTTTTCACTGAAAGGGAAAGAAATAAGCTTTTTCAGTTTTGCCACTTCAGTTGTTATTCAAACGCCCCCTTATTTTTTATACTGTAGCTGGATCTTTTCTGTTGATTGGAACCATGAGGTCTAGTTTTCATTTCCAGCTAACCCACAAAGAGAAGTCTTTAATTTTATTATATTTTCTAATTCAAAATATATATCGAGCTACAAACCAAGATGGCTGTTTTCTTTGTATCTTGCATATATACTATGTCTGGTTGTGCTTCTGCTGAACCACTTGTACCCGGAGACAATTGCACCAATTTGTATTCCTTATCCTTCATTTGGATCTCAAACAAACTAAAAAAGTATAACCTGAAGCAAAAATGAACCGGAATTGCAACTTCCCCATTTGCACTTCATGCATTTGCACAACCACAACTGAGAATTTCATTCGCTGCAAAGGGAGCCCTAATTTTTTAGAGGGAAAAAACAGTTTGAATAATTATCTGTTTTCTGTAGATTATATAGTTAATACTTATGACTAGTATATTTGATGCAATAACTACTGAAGAATACATTTAACATTATAGAATATAGATCTACTTATTTTTGTTTTACAACCTTGATTGTGCTGGTTATTGTTTGGGATAAAGTATTACATCAAAGAAAGAATGAGCTCCAGGTACTAGATTAATGTAAATTACTAATACAACATGAGTAATTAGCCTCATACTTGAAGAGCAATTCCCAAAAAAGAACAAAAAAGTGCTTTTTATTCAATATCCCAGATTGCGTTTAGTTGTTCTCAAAAACTTCACAACATGAGTAGTTAGCCTCTTAGACAGACTTGAAGATTTTCTAATTTCCCTTACATCTTGCAATTTAAAAATTAAAAAGAAATTCACAATTCTTAATTCAGTTTTGTAGAATGAACTACTTACTTTCTCAATTTGACCACTGCTATAATCCAGGTCTTCTAGGAAGGAGCATCCCTATCGTGGCATCTACAAGACAAATTTTTTGGTCACTCCAATCTTGGGATGCATGGGAGAAGAGAGGGACGAAACGCATGAAACATAACCACAATTATTTAGTTCATTCATTATGACCATACATGCCATTACCAGCTCTTCAAATTCAAAGATGTCGCGGGCAAGGGGAAGATCTCCTGGTTGGGCTGCTTTTGATCTCAAGCAGCGGCAAAAACAAGGTCTTGAACCTGAATATAAAACTGACCCTTACCCTCCCATACCAAAAAAGATAAACTCCGTGGTTCCCTCTGAAAATTCAGTTTTAGAAAAGGGTTTATCAAGAAGGTCTTTCTCATCTGTACTCCAGACATCTGTAGATTTTTCAATACTTGTAGATAAGAGTGATTCCAAAAGGGAATTACTAATTGGTGATTCTAGTAGGAGGCTAAGCAATGAAGTTGTCAAGGGGAATAATATTATTCCAGATACTGTAAAGCTTAAAGAACTCCATGGATGGGCTGATGATAGTTTAATTGAGGATATTTTAGCAGCAGTGAATAATGATCTTGGGCAAGCATCTAATGTATTGAAAGCCATTGTTTCCACCAGCAGTTCTCAAGATAATAAGACAATAGGACTTTCACATGAGAGTTCTACTCTTGGAGAAAGTTTCCATGTCTATAATAAAAACAAGGTAGAAGGAGGTTCTCCTATAGAAGAGACAATGGACCTTACCAAATTAAGATCTGTTCTGGAAAATGGTATCTGTGTCAATAAGACAGAGCACGTAGCTGAAAATGCTCCTTTTGAAAGTAAGTTATCTGATGCTGATAAACAAATCAAACTAATCTCAAGGCACTTGATGTCTGTACCTGCTGAGCCTGAGTGGGAGGAGGAGGATGTTTACTTGAGCCACCGAAAAGATGCTATTAGGATGGTTAGGTATGTATACTTGATACTATAACTTGTATATTTTATTTACTTACATGAATCAAATAAAAGATAAATTTGTTAATCATGGCTCTAGGGTTATTAGAACAGTTTGGGTATATTTTTAACCTTCCTAGTTCAGTAAAGCTTTGGTATTCATCTTGGAAAGGTAAAGGAATTTGTTTTATCATGTTTGTCAAATCCATTAATCTTTCTTCTATCATCTATATTGTTATATGGAGTGGATATCTGGATCTTAGTAACTAGATCTGTTTCAAGGTTGGAGAATTTAACCGAAGGTTTTGTGATCATAGTTGTCAAGGCAACTAGGCGAGGCTAGGCGACCATGGGGCACCCAGGCGCCTAGGCAGGCACCTAGGCAATGGAATCTATAAATATAAAATCTATAGATTTCTACACTTCCTGAAGGACCTAAGCTATTTTATAAGTTATATTTGCTTACTAGCTACACATTACACTAAGCATAATCAATAAAACCTTTCATATAAGTGTAACTTTCATGTGAAAACATAAAAATTGAACATTTGAGTTAAAAGAAATAAGCAATCAAACAAGTGGCTGATAAAAAAAATGCAATCAAGCAAGTGAAGTGAGAGTAACAAGTCTACTAACATGGCAAGTTGGCAACACTAAAAAAGTAAAAAAACTAATAATTTAAAAATTTAGTTTCATAAAACCATACCTTTTGGATGATTAAGTGTTGATCTTGAGTATTCTTTTTTCTGCAACTTTGCCTTCAATAAGAAAATGAATTAAAAGAATTAATCAATCAATAAGAAATTAACTTTGTCATTAACAAATGGAAGAAGCACTACAACAAAAATAAAAATTTCATAAGAATTCAATATCAATTCTTTAAGGATTAAAATACATACCTTGGTTGATGCTTGGTACTTGGTAGTTTATGTAGGAACTAGGAAGTAGCCAATTAAGAAAGTCATGAAACCATTAACAAATAAAAAGCATAATAGCATATAATGAAGTTGTATAAATCATCATTCATCTCCACAAGTCCACAAAAAATAAATATGAAGTTTAAAACCATAAATTTATCACAGACAATCCTTAAAGAAAATTCTCTATTCTCTAATTAATTACAGTATCTAAGAAGTAAGAACCACCAACACTTCCACTGAATGCACCAACATCATTAGCACCATACTCAACATCTTCATCCTTGTCATCATCACTGTCATCGCCATCATCATGATCATCTTCAACATCAATATCTTCTTCTTCATCTTCATTATCTTCCATATCTTTGTCTCACATCGAGTCTTCTTCTTCTTCTTCTTGAACAACACTTTTGCCTTTATCTTGTCTTCTAGACTCACCTCTCCCACAACCACCTCCACCTCCACCTCTACCTCTACCTTTACCTCTACCTCTACTTGCACCCCCAGGTCCCCCACTTGCATTTCCACGCCCATGTCCACTTCTCCTTGGCCTATTTGAACCTTCAAGGATTTCAAATGTCCCTAATACTTCATCAACTTGAGTCCATGTAAGATCACACCCTTCATAGACCAAGTCACTTGAGGGGTCTTTCCCAGTCAACCACTCACTGGTTTCATCTATATCATCAAAGCAAATAAGGTCAAATTGCTTTGGATTTGTGCACCTTATTATAAATCTTTCTTGGAGGCGTTGATTGCATTGAACAAATACAAGATCATTGAGCCTCTTTTGATCAAGCCTATGCCTATCCATCTTTTTTGTATGAATCTACATTCACAACAAAATAAGAAAAATTATAAAAATAAGTATTTTAACTTTCATAAATAATTTAATCACAAATCCAACCATTAGGTCCATTACTTAGAACTTACATGCTCAAAAGTGCTCCGGATGTGCTCACAAGCAGAAGAAGTGCATGTAAGACGTAATATGCGTAATGCAATATGCCTAAGGTTTGGAGTGCAATGTCCATATTTATGCCACCAATAAGCTACAAAATAGAAAAAAATGAATTAAGACAATATAAATTTAAAATAATAGGAATAAAATATAAATATAAGTTTCAAGAAAAGAGAGCTTATATTACTTGGTTGTTTCGTTTCACGTTGCCTAATTGTCAATTCTTTAGAGAAAGCACCATGAGCGTGCTTATACTCTTCCAACTGATGAGAGATCGTCTTGAATTTCAATATCACTGACCATTCTCTCAATGCAATCTAGAAAGCCCATTTCAAACTTACCAATCGACGCTTAATTTTGTGCTTTAGCCTTATAATAAAGGGCTAGATTGAGAAAAAAACCAGCAAGGTGCAACTGATGTTGCATCATTTTAGTCCAACGCCTATCGAAAATGTCTAAAATGGGCTTATACTCCCTTCCTTTCCAACTAAAATTTTCTTTTATTTTCTCTCTTGCTCGCTCCATTGCATAGTAAAAATAACCCATTGCGGATTTCTCATCACCATCAACCAATCGTAAAACCTCCACAAGTGGTTGGGCAGCCAAAAGAGCAAGTCTTACATTTTTCCAAAATCCAACAGAAAGCACAATGCTTGATGCTCTTAGTCCATCTGATTTGTTAGCCGATTTACTCTTGTTCCACAAATCACCAACAAATAAAGCACACAAGGGCTCCTTGAAAGTATACAAACTTTGTAAAGTTAGAAAAGAGGTGGCAAACCTTGTAACTGCACATCGTAAAGGATCTCTTCCATTTGTTTTTTCCCTCATGCGTGCAAGAAGAAGAGGATGCCTATAAATAAAAGCAGTTACTTGTCTTGCCTTGGCAATACAACTTTTTGTAGACCTCAATTATCTAATGTCTTCTAACATAAGGTCTAGATAATGAGCAACACAAAGAGTTCAAAATAAATTCTTCCTCTTCAATCTTAAAAGATAACCGACAACAACATAAGTAGAGTGGTTATTAGTAACCACTTGCACCACATGTTCCTCCCCTACATATTCATTTTCTTTTTTCCTTTTTTCCTTCTTCAAATGACTTTCAATGCTTGTTTGAACCAATTGTCTTTTATGCCTCGCTTCAACAACTTCTTTTGGACTTTGTCTCACAAAACCATCCATAGCTCTGACATTTTCCTTCTTTTTTGGTGGAAAGGAGGAATTTGAAGTTGGAGTGCTCCTCCCACTTGAAATGGAGACACCTACTTCTATGGGTTGATTACTTTGATTGTTAGAACCCCTTTTAGATATAATCTGCTTTCATGCCCCACAATTATTATTTTTTTGATCATCAAAGGAAACTTTTTTGAAATTAGATTTAAAAAGTTTTACAACGTTGTGTATGGAACTAAAAGTCCCACATGAATACATATTTCTGTCCCTTTTACAATGCAGCCCAAAACAATTGTTGCCTCGAAGCCCCTTGTTTAGCAAGATAATCAGCTAGTCCATTTACACTCTTTCTAACCCATTTGAATTCTGCCTCTACCTCCCTTGCAACCTTTTCCACTTCCCTTATCACTTGTTTGAAGGTCCACGGAGTAGTTCTATTGTTATTAGCCCGATCACCTTGGAATCCCCTTCAACCTCAATTTGCCTCATTCCTAGTTGCTTGGCTATCTTCAATCCTTGTAGCAGTGCCATTACCTCAGCTTTTAGAGAGTTGCCCATGCCAATAGGTCCAGAGAATAATGTCAATATTCTCCCTTCAGAATTTCTGATTACTCCCCCGATACCTGACAATCCTGGATTTCCAAATGAACTTCCATCAAAATTCAGTTTAATTCTGTTCCCATCTGGAGGTTTCGATTCCATCCTTACTCTCTCTTTCACTCTTGAAGATTGTGCTATTTCTGTCTAGGATCTTATAATGTCTGTGACTGAGAACTCTTGGAAGATATGCAAAGAGCTTACCCAATGAGCTACTTTAACTTGGATTGTGTCAATCACCTCCTCCGTGGTTCTACTCTTTTCTAAGAATATTCTGTTATTCCTTTCTTCCCATATCACCCAACAAATAGCTGCCTTTGTATCTTTTCACATAACCTTCCCTCTCTTTTTTGATTGCCTCAAAAAGTCTCGGTTAAAAAGACCTGCCACATCTTGAGGGGAAACCCACCTGCAACCAAAGAGAAGACAAAAAGAATCCCAAACATGATGCACAAAAGAACAAGATAAAAATAGGTGTGTTAAGGTCTCACCACTTTCCTCACAAAGGGAGCACATGTGAGGAGAAAGGCAAGCAAAAGGCCTTATTTTCTGCAGCATATCACACGTATTGACCTTGCCAAGGAAAATTTCCCCACGATTATTTTCAATTGTAAAATCATCCAATAGTTTCTTCCTCTTATTCTTCTGCATATATTCTTGCATCTCCTTGGCAATACTTGCAGTAGTTTTGGGACATTTAGTCACATCCCCATATCCCCAATCAAATGTTGTTTTATCCTTTTTATTCCTCATTTAACAACTTTAGCAAATAACGAGCATGGAATTGCATTTTTATCTTCTAAATCATGCCAAAATGCATATTGCCATGCAGGGTCCTTTGATTGAGCCTTACGCCTAACGTTGCCACTTCCCTCTCTAGTTGTCATTCTCTATTTCTATTGAAAAAAAAAATCCAATTAGCAAATAAAACAAATTAGAAAACAAACAAAAGTGTTAAACTAGAAAATAGTTAATGTATTTTATTCCTCAATTAAATAATTAATTGAGAAATATGAGTAAGAGACTAAGAGTCTAAGAGAAAAAGACTAATAAAAACAAATAATAATTTTTTTTTTCATAAGTACACAAAAACAAATAAATAAATGTTAAATCAGAAATCAATTAATCTAATCAATAATTCAGTTATTCAGTTAGAAATAGAAATTAAATAAAAATTTAAAGCAAGCAAATTTCAGCTATATCTATATGATATAATCAAATTTCATTCAATATTTGCAATATTCATATATTTCATAAGTATGCAAGCAACCATTAATGCAAATCACCAAATGCAATATTGCAATATACAAATAGAAATAAAAAAAATCAGCCATATAATCAAATATCAGATTTTCAATTCAGCCATATAATCAAGTTTCAGACTTGTAGTTTAGCCATGTAAAAAAATTTCAGCCATATGTATATTAATGATGTAAAAAACATTAAAAAAAAACTGATAAAAAAATAAAAGAGTAGTTCAGCCATGTAAAAAAACATAAATGATATAAAAAACATTTCAAATCTCAGATTTTCAATTCAGCCATATAATCAAGTTTCAGACTTGTAGTTCATCCATGTAAAAAAATTTCAGCCAGATAATCATATATATTAATGATATAAAAAAAACATTTGAATGAGAAGAAGAAGAATTAAAGAAGAGAAGAAGAGTAGGCCGACTGTTAAAAACTGAGAAGTGAGAACAATGAGTGAATCAGTGAAGGAAGGAGAGGAGTATAGGGCGGAACCCCTGTTTTTTCCGAAAAAAAAACAAAAAAATGAACTAACTAGTGACTAGTGACTACTGAGAGTGACCGACTGAGGACAGTCATGGACTCATGGGGCAGAAGAAGAAGAAGAAAGGGATGATGATGATGATGATGATGAGTGGAGGAAGGGAGGACTGAGGAGTATGGGGGTGGAGCCCCTGTTTTTTCGAAGAAAAAAGGAAAAATGTCTGAGAAGAGAAACTCAGGACTGAAATCTGGAAGAAGAAGAGAAGAACTTACCTGCTGAAGCTGAGGTGTGATGGAATTGGGTTATCCTCTCTCTCCAGTCGAACCAAAAAAAAAACCATTATGCATAAACAAAAGAAAAGGCATTAGTTGTATTGTTGTCTTAATAATAAAATGATAGCTTGTAACCAGTTTTATTTTAAAAGAATAAAATATCCAATAAAATATCAAAACAATAAATTAAAAAAAAATAGTTTCTTAGATGTATCTGGGTGGGTGCCTAGTATACAAAACCTGTGGCGTTTGGGTGAGGCAACCATGGAAAACCGCCTAGTCACCTTGACAACTATGTTGTGATTCTATGCTTCTAGCAATAAAACCATTTTTGAACTGCAATTCTAAAAGACAGGATTTTGTTTCTTCAAATTTTTGAATTCTGTTATACCATTATTTCGAGGACCCTTATATTGGTTTGGCTGGGTTGAGCTTTTTCTTAGTTGTAAAGAGAATTTATTAAAATGAAAAAAAAGGAAGATATATACTCAGGTAATAAGAAATCATGAAGACTAAGAGAAAAAGAAGAAGCACCCCTACTACATACGCTTTTTTTTTTCTTGGGTAAGTTACTATAAGCTTAGGTAATAAGGAATCTGATTATGACACTGTTGTGTGGAAGGATTAAGTTGTTATCTCACTTTTGGATAAAAGGTTTGATTTGATATTTTCATAAGCTTAGGGTTGTATTACAAATGTATTATTAGGCCTCTTTGCATGATGATACAACCAAATTGTTAGGCTTCTCTAGAGGAGATTGACATGCTATAGGGAGGCAACCTCACCCCAATAGTTTACCTTCCTTTCCTTGTTTGTTACAATTCCTCCTAATCAGGGGGTTATGGCAAATTTCCCTTTTTATTTTCCTTCAATTTTATTGAATGCGTTATACTTGCTTTGACAAGTAGTACATGGTTTTAGAATTCATCTTCAAAGTACTGCTAGTCTTCTGCCGTATTATTTTTGCCTTGATTTCCATACTATGCTACCTGGATAAGGTGTGGGATATAGAATTTAGACTAAAAATTGAGGTACCCAAAAACATATACCCCTTGCATAGGTATCTGGGTATCATAATTGCCAGATATTTTAATAAGATCTGTTAAAACACCTTTCAAATTGAGAGCTTTAAAATTAACTTTTCAGTTGATATTGAAATTCATTCATTATTATCTTTGTGTATTTTAATTATCATATTGTAAAAATTTGGCACTCATCCTTTTTCATCAAACAGGTTAGCATCTCAGCATTCAAAGGCATCCAGTAATTCCTTTCTAAAAGGTGACCACTTTTCTGCTCAACAGCTCTCACTAAAGGCCCGTGAAGAATGGAGGCTTGCTGAAGAGTTGAATATGAAGGTAGCTGAGGAAATTTTAAAGATCAGGAATAGCCAAAATGACATGTGGAAGTTGGACTTACATGGCCTGCATGCATCTGAAGCTGTTCATTTCTTACATGAGCACCTTCAGAAGATTGAAACTCAGATGCCTTTAAAACGTTCACTATCACCCAAGAGGGTCAAGCCAGAAAAAGGGATAATGCGGTCCCCATCTCTCGAGTCTGTTAACTGTATGGGCATGGAGTGGCAGGTGGACAAACATCAGGCTTTATCTAGCCACAGACAGACAGTGTTACAGGTTATAACTGGTATGGGGTTTTCATTTCTTACACAAAAGTATTTTTTTTTTGAAGAATCAGAGATTTATTAAAAGAAAAAAGATTCATAAAATCAGGGGGGGGTGTCAAGATAACACCCAGCCACATCCTCCGCTTAACTAACCAACACTACGAGAGAGAAATTAAGAAAAACAGTGAACTGAACAAGAATACAAGTCTGAAACTCAGGAAAAATCCAAAAGCTCTCTCCCAACTGACAAACCATTGCACTCAGCTCCAGCTACACCCCACTTCTCCATCCCCAATCTCATACTTCAAATCCAAATTAAATGATTCCAGCTTCCACTCTTGAAGCAGCACAACTGCGGACTATGACTCCTAATTAAGTTATCACCATTCACCATCACCCTTTTCTCCTCTTTCAAGTCCCTTACATTCCAGATAATCACTCCCATCCTTCTTTTCCTGCCTGTTATAACAAAAAAGGAAGCTTTCCTTCAGTCCTCCCCACTCCTCTTCCCCTTCTTCGTCCCATTCCTTATCCTTCCCAATTTTTTCTTTGTTCAAAAGCCTTTCTTGCAAATTCTTCCCCTCCCCAGAGAAATACAAGCCCAGGGATTTTCTAACAGCAACCTCCCACTCTACTAAGTTGTCAATTTCCACCTTTCCATTTTGAGTCAGATCCGAAGCCTGAGCTGCCACCCCTCTCCTCCTGCCCTTCCCCTCTCTTCCCGTCCAAACACCCTTCCTGTCCCCTCTCCTCAACTTCCCCTCCTTCCACACCCTGAACAGATTCTACAACTCTCTTTTTCCTATTGTAAACCTTCTCCTTCCTCTTGCTCCTTTCTAACTCACCGAAAGACCTTTTTTTTTCCCTCCTTTTTGTTCCCCGGACAACTCTACTTCGATCCCGCACCCTCTCCCACCTCTTATTGGGGTTCATTCCCCTTCTCCAATCTCCGATCACCGTTTGAAACAGGGGTAGTTACCTTTTGTTCAAACTGCTTATCGCTGAGATACGGGGCACCATATAAATCCCCCCTCATCGAACTCTACCGTGCAAATATTGGTTGCAGTGTCCTGGTCTTCTTCCCCCAGTGAATGGACTTCCAGAACCGAGGAATCTTTAGACACCTGCTGGGAGCAGTTGAGCTTTGCCAACTCTAGTTGATTTTCCACTCCTAGCCTCTCTTTCTACCCAACCTTCAACATCTGTGTGCTAGGCTCTTGTCAATCTCCTTCCTTTTTGGGTGACAAAGCTCCTCGAGGAGCACTTGAGGTTCTTACAGTGTACCTGCTACCTCTTTTTTGCTGGATCTCTTTGATCCCAACTTCTTGAGAGTTTTTTCAAAAGACCCCTCCCAAGTTGCCTTTTACCAACAACACCCCTAACTTTGCCAGCTCAACACTCCTTCCACTGCCCCTCGTCCTGTAGGCCCCACCTGCTGAAAAATCAAAATTAAAACTTCCCGCCACCTATGTCCCTCCATGTTCCCCTAGTTCCACGTGCAATTCAAGCTCCTCCTTTCTTTTACCCTCCTCCCTCACCACGTGTCCCTTACTGAGAAAATCAGAACCTAACTCTTCCTCTGAAATTCCAGAGTTGCCCTTCCCAACATCCACCTCACTCGTGTCTTCCTCCTTTGACTGACTCTTCGTCTCCCTAACACTACTCTCCTGAAACTGTATGCCTGTGTTGCTGGTGTATTTAGCTATCTATTTTTGCACCTATGAAACCGTTTTAAAGGAAATTGGTGTAATGTATAGTTGTCAAGGCGCCCAGGTGAGCCTAGGCAACCACAGGGCGCTCAGTCACCTAGGTGATGCCTAGGCAATGGAATTTGAAAGTATAAAATATATATATCCCTACTCTTAAGCTACGTTATTGGTTTTTTATACTAACCAACATACCTGTACGCTAGCTATTAGCAATAAAGTCATTCCAATAAAACATAAAATGCCATAACTGGCATCCAGGAAAAAAAAAATGGGGGATTGCAGATAAGAAAAGAGTGAAAAATAAGGGGGCGGAGCCCCTGTTTCGTTCACAACATAAGTTGTCCAAGAGGACGATGTGGACTGTGTTTAAGGGGGTGGAGACCCTGTTTCAGGCTAAAAAAAATGGAGGAGGATTGTTAAGAAGAAGGAGGAGGAGGTGGAGCCCCTGTTTCATCCCAAAAGAAAAAGGAGGAGGAGGCGGAGCCCCTGTTTCATCCCAAAAGAAGAAGAAGAAGAAGAAGAAGAAGAAGAAGAGGAAGGAAAAAACGAACCAGGTCTTCGACTACTTGGAAACTTCCTGTCATCATTTTCTCTTCTCAGCTCTCGTTTTCTCTTCTCTTTTATTAAAGTAAAAGAGAATTACTTTAATAAAAAATGATAATATACAACAGGGTGTATTGTAATAAGATAAAACAAACCAATAAAATGATATAATACATATGCACATTCAAAAAAATAGTATAGCATATATATGGGTGAGTGCCTAATACAAAAACACCTAGGCATTGGGCGAGGCGACTTCTAAAAATTGCCTAGTCGCCTAGGCGGGCACCTAGGCGTCGCCTTGACAACTATGGAAAAAAAGAGATGATTCCTAAAATAGAACATATGGTAAGCTTTAGTATATCTCCACACTTTGGCTACAGGAGATTCTGAATTAATTGTCCCTACTTCAAGTTTTTAAACCCGTTCAAACAAGGAGGTTGACCAGATGGTGCAGATGTGGAAGCAATTAATTGTCCCTACTTCAAGTTTCACTAGAGAATGACCCCCATACCAAGTATGGGGCAACTACACTATCTATGATTTTTTGGGGTCATTTACTAAAGCACCCCATATGGTTTGATGAATTTACTAAAACCTACCCTATAGTTTGTGTTTTACTAAAACATCCCCAATAGTTTGCAATCAATTTACTTAATCGACCTTCCATTATATGAAAGTGGAAAATGATAGTTTTAATCCTAGCATCCATTTTCCCCTAGTAAGACATGGACAACCACTTTATTCTGTTCTTTTTGGTTAATTTGTTTTCTATACAAAAAAATGCTAGGGATGCTTTTGGAATAAATAATCATGGATCCATGCCCTTGAGCATTTTCCACTCATTTCAGGGGTACTTTTGGAATAAACAACCATGGGTCCATGCCCTTGAACATTTTCTACTTAGTTTAGTTGATCATATTACCATTTTCAGATGGCAAAACAAATAGTTCTTAATGAAAGGTCGATTAAGTAAATAGGTTGCAAACTATAAGGGGTGTTTTAGTAAAATAAAAACTATAGGGTAGGTTTAAGGAATTCCATGAAACTACAAGGGGTGTTCTAGTAAATGACCATGTTTTTGCTTTTTTGGAATAATATTATTTTATTTGAAATTCATTATTTATTTGATAATTATATTTAATTTGATTTTTTATTTAATTTAAATAAGGTTTAAATTAAGTCTTTATAGTGACTCTTTTATTTGAATTAGGAAATTGAATTACAAAGATAAATATGGGCCCCACATCCTTTGGAGTGGATACTTTTTTCTATGGGTAGTCATGCGTCTACTTATAAAAGAAATGTATAATCATGCGTCTAAGTTAGCACTTTAGGAGAGTAGAGTTAACCCTCATTTTTTCTGAAAGTGGGTAGACATTGATAGGTCCCATTTATTTCTTTACAAATCAGTCCACTATCTGTACGTGGGTCCCCAATACAATTGATCCCTGCCGGTGCCTTATCTTGCTAGTGTATCTTACATTTCATTTGCTGATTCCTGAGTCCATGTAAAGCTTGCTCTTTGTTCTCTCTGCAGCTAAACTCTTTCATAGTGTTACTGAAGGGTTAAAGAGAGTTGGACATGAGAGATTTTATTATCTCCAATTACTCTGTATAAGCTGTATGTGTTGTACTCTTCCTCTTACTTTTAATGATGTTTTCAGTTATTGACCAAAAAAAAAAAAAAAACCTCATAGTGTACCTATAGTGCCATGCTGCTTGAGTGTTGTTATTTTTAAGCCATCCATTTATTAATTTGGTATCCCCCTTATTCTTTTTCTTTTTTTCTTGATAATTGTATGATAATTTCATTAGCAAAAGAGAGAATCTGTTACAATCATCCCAAAACTAATAAAATAAAATAAAATAAAAGTAGTATCGTTATAAGTACCGATACACAAACGTGTATCGATACTTTGAACCTTGCTTAGAACCACCATTCTAAGGTTACTCTGGTGAGGAAGAAAGTGTTTCTGTGCGATTTTCAAGGCTATCTGTCTGGTGACTGTTGTCTCCTCCACGGCTCCACTATGAACTGCTTAGCTTCCATTTTGAAGTTTTTCCTTCCACTTTGTCTCCTGCACAAACATCACCATCCCCTCTCTCTTCCATTTTGTGATGCAACTTTAAAACCAGATCACTATGAGTTTTTTTGCTATTAGATAGGTTGTTATCTAGATAGACTAAGATTTTGTAAATCCAACATGTTTTGAGAGTCATAGCCCTTGAGCCATACTACTGACTAATAGGGGGTCAGTTTTATTACAGGATTTGGTCTTTTCACTTCTTTCGGTTAATGTTGGAATTGTTTTTTGTTTGTTGAGTCATAGTTGGATCAGTAATAGATATTTGGTTTTGTTCTAAGAGTTGGTCTTTATTTCATTGTCTTTATGGGTTATTCATTGACTTCAGTCTTAGTGCAAACTGCGAAGTACAATAAAAAATTGTTTCAGGCAAGGTTCAAAATTTTGATACATATCATATTAGGGGCTTCTGGATACGCTCCTATGGAGGGTGTTTCGGGGTTTAACCCGGTTCAGGGGGTAGATAGGCCTTAAACTGACCCATCTGAACCAGGTTTAAAAAAAACTAAAAAAATAGGGGAGCGATCCCCGATACAGTCCGAATTGTAACCAATTATGGTACTAAGGAAAGTTGGAGCCTTTGTATAGGATTAATGTAATTTAATATTTAATGGAGTAATAGATTGTTTTTGAAATTAGAGTCCAATTATGGTACCAAAAAGGTATGGTACCTAAAAGACTGATAACCAATCAATAGCTTTCATCCAAATGGTAACCAATCAACTGGTATTCATTCAAATTCATGTGGGTTTCTGATTGAATTTTTTCAATTACCATACCTTTCTTTCTGGTGCCATAAAAATAGCCTTGAAATTATCTATGGGTATAGTTATTTAGAAAAATAAAACCCAAAATGGGCCAAATGGAAATGAATCAATGATTTGTTGGCATGTTAAGAGTATGACTCCTTGATCTTTCTTTTAGCTCTCTTGTGGGAAAAGAGGATTATTATATAGGAATCTGCACACGTATAACATTCTTTCTATTTTCTCAACAGGGACAGGTAATCATAGCCGAGGACAAGCAGCACTCCCTGCAGCAGTGAGAAGTTTCCTCATTGAGAATGGGTGAGATTCACCTTCTCCAGTAGTAGTACCCATAAAACATGAATGAATTTATGGCTAGTGTCGTTTCTCTTTTCTTCTGTTCAGAGTGCACTGTAAAATGTGAAGTAGTTATCTAGAACTAGATTATCTGACCAATTAATTTCATTTTGTTGCAGATACCGTTTTGACGAGACACGGCCTGGGGTAATTGCAGCAAGGCCCAAGTTCCGTCATGGGTAAAGTGCTGAAATATGCAATTCACCATGAGTTACGTTGCTTTGTTGTAAAGTTAAATCTTTTAAGTGTTTGTGTTGCAACGTTGTGCTCCAAATCAATGTCTAATTAATCTGGTTATGTAATTCTGAAATTAATTCCAATATTTAATCAGTTTGTCATTGCAAACATTGGATAATTTTGTTGGATCAATGTTTTAATTTTTTTTTCCAAATGAACAGGGAAATTATCTTTTTTTTTTTCTGCCTCTTTTTAGGATATTTTATAAAAACACCATTTTCTCACCTGTGAAGAACCACTGGGTCTCTCTCGCTCTCGACTCCAGACCATCTTCCCACCAGAACTCTGCCCATGTCTATCCACAACACACTACCCCATGCATTGGGAGCATCTCCCTGTGCAAAATACTATATAAGAGGATGAGATGTTCTCCATGTATGGCTGCGATGTTATGTGGGTAGAGTTTTTGTGGGCAGGAGATCCGGACTCCTCTTCTCTCTCTATACTTTCAACCCAAACCCTAACCTTAACCCAAACTGACTTTGAGATTGGGTTGGCCCATGGTAGAACCAATAGTGACATTTGACCTCACCAGCCTTCAACACATCATCAGCATGGGAAATTGAAACACCTATGCTTAATCCATAGTCAGGAATTCATTCCCACAGACTTGAGACGAGTTTATAAACTTTGTAAGAGTTTCCCTACCTTTCCCTACATTTTCCATCAAACCAAATATAGCCTGTACAAGTGCTTGAACATCGAAAGTTTCCATCATGGGGGCTTCTGCTGTGTAAGAGATGCAGGATTCAGGGCAATCTTGCATTCATGCTCAAGCTTACACAAGTTTAGGGTGCTTCGTGGGACCCAACTCACTGATGATCTGGTGTTTAATGATATTACTGTCACTTCCCTTTCTTTGATTAAGATGGTGCAACCTCATAACCATCCTGGCAGTTGTACGCTTGGTATCCAACATGGATCTCAATTATCTGGATTACTTGAGAGTTTGTCAAAACCTTGGGGATGAGGCATTGCAAGCTATCAGCATTCTACCCAAGTTGAAGACGTTGCTTTTGGATGGCTCTGGTGATATCAGTGATATTGGTTTGTCATACTTACTTGAGACATGGGGTGATGCATTCACTAACTAGTCCATTATCTGTTAGAGCGAGGCTGCAAAAGACTGACACAGATGAATGCATTTCTGCTATATTTGATGGTTCTTCTGGGCAGCAGTTGAAAGATTTGGACATTTCTAACATTCCTAATCTCTCAGACAATGCAATTCTGCTACTAGCTAAAAGTAGGATTCTGCAGCTTACTGAACTCCGTATGCGGGAGTGCCCACTAGCTAATATGTGAACTTGTATCATGGCATTGGCTTCAATGCAAGCTGGTGATGGTGGGTGCCAAGGGAGCAGTTTGAGTTTGCTCTGGATGTTTATTATTGAAAAGTAAGAGTGGTAATTTTGTAATTTTCTTTTATGTTTTATTTTTGTATTAAGTGGGAGTTGGAATTAACTGTAAAAGTAAAACCCCTTTATATATCTTGTAATCTGAAACATTTTAAAAGAAAGACCTCAATAAGCTAAGAACAAATTAAAACCTAGAACTGTATGTTGGCTTTTCATCTTCTTCTCTTCATTCTATATCATTTTTTCTTCTACAGATTTTTTTGGATTTTCTTTTGATTTTTACCACCACACTTCCGTTGCTTTAACATTTATAGATGCGAAGGCATGCATTGCAGAGCTTGCAATCCAATGGTTACGTTGAAGAAGCCTTATTTTCCATGGTTAAGATGGTTAGGACTGACAGGAATTATGAACAGGGACATGGCTGAAGCTGATACTTTGCGCATAGCATGTTGTGGTGAGGAACTGGGAATAAGTGGTCCTTGGGGTAGATCAGATGGTGTGTAATTGTATGCATGTATGGTCAAGACGATGAAGAATTGGATGATGAAATTGAATAGTTAGTGTTCGGGTCATGGTTGAATAAGCACGACCAAGGACAGAAGGAGGGATGATGACAACTCCCCTGGGGATTAGGATTCTATCCCAAAAACCTCAGCGGTTAACCTCATCCCTACAACCCCGGAAGCCTAATCCGACTAGGACATGGACATTCGACTATATAAAGGTATCTCCAACTCAAGGTAAGTGATTCCAACTTCTAGCATCCGTACTGTTACTTTGCTCGGACCAGCACTTTCATTGCTCGGCCCGACAATCCACCACATTCTATTGACTTGAGCGTCGGAGTGTCTGAAGGGATGAGAGATCCATCATATGGATGGCCGAACGCTGCAGGTGGGTTGGGCAAAATTTCAAAAATTTCTCTCTCCCATGTGGGAATCACATTCCCTATTTTAGAAAACTGCATTTTCAATGATCAATCTTGAACCCAAATCAGACCAGATCTAAAAACAAAAGGGAGTGGAGGGATATACCTAATACGAAGTAGTAATAACCTCCAACGAAGGTGTTCATGCCCAAGGAAAGATCCAAAGATGACACGGTGCAGGATGAAGAAAAATTAGCAGGATAGTTCTTCAGCAAGAACCGAATTCTTCAACAAGAATCTGATGGAGGGCTAGTGAGCACGACTTCAGATTACCTTTTCTGCCAAAAGGTAATATCAAGAACTCTTCTTGATTGCTCCCACAGGTGGAGATCGAACTGCTATGGCGGCAAGAGCAGGAAAGAAGGAGATAGTTCAATCAAACTATATTGTCTCTCTCAGGAATTCAACAGTCTGTTAGATGATCTGGAGGTTCGCCCTGCTCTTCTATTTATAGCCTTAAAGAGAGGTTCTCCTAATCCCATTAGGAGTTTCCTAATCCAAATCTCTTATTTGGATCTGGACTTTCCTTAAGAGATAAGGATAATCCCTTATGTTATCTGCAGATAAAGATCAACCTTCCTAATATAATTAGGAGTTTTCTAATCAAAATCTTTATTGGGATATGGACTCTTTGAGTGGATAGGGATAATCCTTTATCCTATCTGCTGATCTAAATCCCAAAACCGCCCTCTTTTAATTAATCTCATTAAGCCAGTTCGAATTGGGCTTTAGGCCCATTAAGTCCATGAGCTCACTTATCCTCCAAATTGCTGCCCAGTTGGATATCCTTGTATGGCATGTGACCCAAACATTGATCTACACACCAGCCACATGGGTTCAACCCAGCCTCTGTTACAAGGCCTGGCCGAATTCACTGTAGGAGATAGTGAACCCCTGAGTCCATCACCATGGGCTCTTAATGGGCCCAACATTTACACTAAATGGTCATTGGGTCAAGCCACCTTATAAAAACTCAAGGACTGTGGGCAGATGTAAGATTAGCCCATCAGGTATTACTCTCAATAGTCTTACACTTAACCTC